ATGTTTGTGCTAAAACCATGATAAAGATAATCTCATTTAATTCTTACAGTTATCTTGCATAATAGGTGCTGCAACCCTAATTTCTGTAAGTGAAAAAACTATGGCTCAGATAGATTTATGTGATTTGTCAGGACAACAACACTAGTAGCTAGCAAAGCTCAGATTTGTGTGAAAGTGTAATTAAAATCCACATTCCTCTGAATTATTCTTTCCAATACATTATTGTATGTAACAGTTTTCATATTAAATGCCCCATAAAAAATAGATACTTAAAAAAACAGGTTAAGATTATTATAGCAATAGACCTCAAGTTATTTCATATTGAAGTCTACAATGTATTTTCTTTGATACAGGGAGATTAAATGGTATTATAGGACAAACAATCATATTAGATAGAATGGCTAAGATTATTCTGCAAAATAAGTTTAAGGCAATTACACAGAGACTTGTCCTCCAGTTTTTGCTTTTTACAATTTTACTGTTCTAGATTAACAGAATTAAATCTTTCATTCTGAAAGGCTTTACATCAAATAAGACTAACAACACAGAAAAATCAAACAAAAACAAACAAGTTGGGAAGAAAAGCTAAGCACATTTAAAATATAAAAATTACTATTTACAAGCAATTTGTTTTTAAAGACAGTTGCCATAAGCAAAATTCTTCAAATAACTACCCCAAACTGGAAAAAACAGTAATGAAAGCTAGTGTAAGTATTTTCTGTGGAGTCCCATGTTAGTCCTATGCTTGTCAGCTATAAGGAATTTTTAGCAATAAAAATTCTAAATGATTTCATAAGAAAAAATTAACTAATGAAGACTAATAAATTAGATATTACTGGCAAGGGTCATGTAAAATTTAGTGAATTTGAAACAATTTTTAAAGAATCATTTAAATGGTCAAGAGCACACAGCATATGATATGTTATTAAACCATACTCATAACTAATGTTAAGGGCATTTTCAAACAATACTGGTCTCTATAAAAATGCTTTCTTTGACATGTGAAAAAGCAAGTATGAAATAATGTACGAAAACTAGCATTAGCAAGTTCTAAAACTAAACAAATGCATCTATACTTATTATAACTGATTTATTTGAAATATTTTATATAAAACTTAACAATGTGAAAACAATATACAGATACTCTGAGGTTTTGTCCTATCTTTTCCTTCTCAAAAATACAAGTGCGTTAAAAGTTTTTATGTTGGGATAATAAAATGTGTAGCAAGTAAAAAATAATGGGTAAGAAATCTGGATTAATTCTATGTTTCAACAACTTTATAAAACATTACTATTTGAACCCAGAATAATTTAAGCCTATTGAACAGAAGACTTACAAAAAAGCATGTGAAATGATCTGTCTTGGGCTGTAAGCACAAATGTAATCTCAAAATATCTTAGAGATGTAGGATGGAATGTTACAAAGAAAACAATTTTTGGAATGACTCAGATTCAAATTCTTACTGAACAATTCACTTAGTTTTTTAATCTGAGTAAACCAATTTATCTTATCTACAAGAAGGGTGTTGAGATTACCTTTCATTATATATGCGGGAGTTGGGTAAATACAAATTCCCCTTTTATCCTTGGAAAGTCATCAAGTTATATAGCTAGTTGGTCAGAGGGCAGAGCTTAGCATTTTTGTATGGAAATTATAAAGCTCTAAAAAACAATGCCATTCAAATTATTTTTTAAAATATATGAATTAAACAAAATTTTAGCCAACAACTAGAAATGCATAAATAGTAGTATTTCTTATTTAACAGTTTGTTTATTGAGCTCTCACCATATGCCATTATTTTAGCTGGAAGTACAGGCATAAATAAATCAGGTGAAATTCCATGTCTCACAAAACTTATATTCTAATTACAAAACACAAACCAGAATTTTAAAAGGGGATGATTTCAGAGCTTTGCTTAGTATAAGAACATCTTATAGCAAAATAAAATTACTTATAGCAAAATACAGGTTTTTTTTCATCTCCTAAGTGATTATTCTGTTGGATCTGCACAATGATCTTTGAAGAATGTGTATGTAACACACAAAAAAAGTTCAAAAACTTCCTTAAGGCTCATGGATTCCTTGATTACAAATTTCTTTTAAAACTGAAATCCCCCTAAGAAAATTATCTGATTATTTTAAATGACTTAACTTCCTGACATATTCATTCATCTTATACAAAATCAATTATCCAAAAGAAATTTTAATGTTAGAAAAATGAAAGAATCTTTAGAGTGATTCACCGAACAATTCTTTTATAAAATATCTTTGGAATCGAAATAAATCTGTTTAACTCTGATTAGTGTTCGTTTAATGTTTAAACAAATTACTTTTCTTATTTAAAATCTATTTGCATAATAATTCCAATGGTCTCCTCTTTTCCACGTTTCTGTTTTTCCCCTTCTGCATGTTAACTGTCAGCTCCTGCTACCATAATTTTGGCAGTATTTTCTATGTGACAGTTCTAAGCTGGGAAGCTTTTTTGGAGCACAACTGTGCCTAGCTCACCTGAAGATGAGGTCAAATGAAGAGCTAAAAATTTAAACTTCTGTAATTTCTCCTGCTTTTTTTACGTTTTAATACTTTCTTACTACTTGTAATTATGGTTCAATATTTTCTAAGGTCATGTTTATTCTGAAAGGGTAATGCTGCCCAGAATCGGATTCTGAATTGCAAAGTCAATTTTTACAGTAAGTAAATTAGGCTCTCTAATCCATATATTTATCTACTAGTAGTGAGTTTGCACTTTAGTTTACAACTGTTCACAACTACTGGACTTGCAGTACATCAACAGATTAATATATTTATTTCCAACAGATTAAAATAACACAGACACTCCTTTGAGTCTTAACCATTCTTATGCTCTGAACATATGGTGGCTCCTTATTTTGAAATATCAAATTCAAAAGGTCTAATAGCTTTTTAAAAAAACATAACAATGACAAAATAAAAAAAGAAACACACATCCTATGGCATCTTAAATTCTTTTTTCCACCACAGCCTTTCTCTGCTCTAGTCAAAATGACATCCTTTTTTTCACAGACAGCTTTACAACTTTGTCCTTGCCTCTCCTATCCACTTAAACCTATCATCCTTCTCATTCAATCTGCCATTCAAATCATCCCTTGAATCCAATTTTTAATCTGAAAAATCTGATTTTCTCAGAATCACTATACAATTCAAAAGGCAATTAATCATATTGTATATATTTTTTTAGTTTTTACTAAGTTATGCGAAACAATTTACTACTCAGTCACATGTTTATATACTGAAAGTTGCAGTGATAGGAGGACTGAGACCTTCACTTGTGCTCTGTAGTCTTTTCCATACATCAACCCACTACATAAGACTATAGTGTTTGATCTATTACATTAATAGAAATCATATAAAGTATTATCTCCTTAATTTATATAGTCATATAATATCCATATTTAAGACGAGTTTGATATCCTGAGCATCTCCCCCTCAGTTCTATGGCCCAGTTATCTATTTATTCACTACATATATATGTAATATCTATTATTTTCTATTTTTAAAGAAATTTAGAAGTTACCCCTGTTAGGTGCTAAACAGAAATATATAATTATAAAACATTTCTTAAAATCTTGTCTAGAGTAAAAAACAGTCACTTTCTTGAGGGACCAAGAAATTTAGGAAGTAATGAAAATTTTGAGATTACACATTGGGGTTGCATTTTCACACACAAGAGGAGACAGCATAACTATCCTTGGATGATTTATTTCCTCTACCCATAGTGGTAGATGCTGGGTGGAATCCAGGCTGTCTCCACTTTACTTCCCAGTTATCACCAGCATTTTCATTGTGTCAACATCCTATACTTATTTAGTTTTATGTTGGGTTCTCTAAATACACACGACATAACTTTATTGAAATTAGTTTATACAGCCTTGGATATAATTCTTAATACATAAAGGTACCCCACAACAGATTTATACTCACTGCTCTAGATCAAGATATAAATTGTTACTAGGAATATAGTGTACCACTTTTATTCAGCTCACTAAAATATATTAACTGTAAAAAAATTCCTTCTTTTCTGTTTACTTTTATTGTTAAGAAAAAAAAGTTGTATATACTTGCTATGCAGTAATGAATCCTGGAAAATGTTGTAACTGAGATGATATACAATTTCTATCAGTAATGCTCTCTCTCTCAAGGCCTGCCAATTGTATCTGGAGACTTGCATGGTGAGTCTATTTTTTCTCATCAAGTTTCATTACTAAATTTGGTTCCCTTAAATTAGTTTGGTTCCCTTAAATTCCTTAACAATGTCAAAAATTAAATAGTTTTAAATATACAAAAACTATAAAACCCTATGAGAAAATACTTGTTTAAATTAATTTCAAATTTAGGGCAATTAAAACAATCCAAAAAAACAAAAAGAACACTGTTTTGTCTCCTGGTACTATACTAAGACAAAAGAAAAAAATTACAGAGAAGCAGCTGACAGCGTTATTAGTATTTCTAAGGGTGGAAAAGGGATGAAGAGTTTTGCTCTGATGCAGCACAGCAGGGTACAACAAAAATGGTTATTTCAGTTCAGCACTCACAGACCCACACTACAACAGTAAGATTAGAAAGAAATTATCCTCAGGTATTCAACTGGGCACACAGTGGCACTGAAAGGTCTGGTCTATCACTATCACTAATTTCCAGTGATGGAGCAGCCTGCTGGAGGAGAAATTAAGATATTTTAAAGCACATTCTTTGTCTCAAAATTAAGATTTAAGGGAGAAGGAGAGGAAAGGCAGACATACAGGGAAGAAATAAGTACATTCCAAACAAAAAGATATTTTATAACTAGGTAAGTGAAACAAACCTATCTACAAAACATCTATTTCAATTCATTTCCTTAAACATTAACTGACTCCTTAAGATGAAAAACAGTAATAATTTATTATAAATGTCAGTATATGAATATCTAGTATTTATATAAAATTTTACTTGTAATGCTTAAGAAATAAAAAAAAAAAACTTACCCCATCACTTTCTCTATGTGGATTCAGCCTACTATAAACAGCTTCAATAACATTGCGCCTACAAAAAAATTATGCTTTAGTTTTATTAAATTACATACAATTAAGTTTTGAGTATTTCATAAAATAACTCATCTAACTGCACTTAAATATTAATTGGCACAGTAATTACTAAGAACATGGCTTCTATATTTCCCTCAGAATTTGATCCTGCACAATGCATTTGCTTCAATTTAAGAAGGAAAGAACCTTCATCCTTAAGAGTATGATAAATAATTTCTTAAAAAAAACTTTGGGATGAAATTTTAGAGTTCTTCTCTGGCATAAAAATCACCAGCCCATTTCATCTTTAGATAATTGATGTACTTCTTACCCAAATTATTTAATTGCTAATTATAAATGAACTCAAAATTAGTTCTTTTGTTCTACTTACTTGCCAGCAAGGCCTCCCCCAGGGGGCAAATTTGGGATATTTTCTGCAGACAAGATGCGTATGACATGGGCAAGATCAGGCATTCCTTCCTCCCCAGACTTCTCCATAATTTCTGTTTTTAAAAAGTGTGTATATTAATGTGATAAACTCAGTAATCACAACAGGTGTAATCACAATAGTATCTATTTTAAAACATAAAAAGCAAGCATCTCACTATCACACAAGAAAACAAAAACTAGTAAAACGTTATCTGTGTACATGTTCATTTTAGTGTTATGCACAAAAGCAAAATATGGAATTAAATGTCCACAAATAAAGGACCTGTTTAGGAAATTCTGGTTAAGTGAATGATTTACAATCACCAAAAATTGCTTTGAAAATAGCACAGATGAAAAACATTATCCCAGCTAATTTTAGGTAAAAATAATACAAGTTATTAATACTACAATTCAGGGAAAATAGAAGCAATGGCGAGACATAGTCTAAGGAGAAAAATAAAAATCATTTTATAGGTTTTCTGATACCTACATAGTTTTGTTCCACGATTTAAAATAAGACAATAAGCACAAAACCTGCTTACACATTCCACTTCTAATTTTTGGAATCAAAATATAAACTCTTCAAATATCAAATAATCGCTGCATACTTTTAAGACAACAAAAAAGTAGTGTCTTAAACAACCCTCAATGTGCAAAATTCAAACTCAATTTAAACTTAATTTTCACTGCTCCCATTCAATGGTGCCCTTAACTCTCACATCCTCAAAAGCTCTACTCAAAGACGTCTTCTCTAGCTTCTACATGGTCACATATACTTTTTCTTTGGCTTGAGGCACTTTTTTGTCAATACAACTAACACATTGTATTAGGTTTCAACTTTATATGCCACTTTCTTAAATTCTTCTCTGACTCAAATCTGCAACATAGACTGTATTCCACTGAATAATAAACAAACTGTATCATATACTGCAAGCTTCCAGAGGACAGGACAGTAATTTTTCTATCTTACACTTACTTCCCTATAGTAAACTTTCTCAAGACTTTGACATCTGGGGCAAATTTTTTGTTGTGGAGTTTATAATTGTAGTGCACAGTGTTAGCCAATGTTAGCACAATGTTATTAGCCTTTAGGTACTAGATGCCAGCAGCTGCCCCTTAAAATGTTTTTAGACATTTGTCACCTGTCCAACAGGGGACAAAATCTCCCTAATTGAGAACCACCAACATCTAACACATTAATAGCCAATTTCTACACCCATTCACTAGAGCCACCAATGGAAACTAAGGTGGTTATGGTGGTCTTCTCCTATTTCTGCTTATTTTGCAAGAACAACAGAGCACGTTTGTGGGAGTGAAATAAAAGGACAAAAATACCCTACCCACTTAAATCAGAGTCAAATAGACTTCTCATAATTAATATTAATATTAACAAGCTTTGTTTCTGAGCATAGGCCCAGAAAGTGTTCACTACTTCGAAGTAATTTCTTACTACCCAGAAGAGAGGAAAAGCAGATCTAAGATGCTGGTTTACAAAGGCATGCCATTGAGGACAAAAGGAATGCTCAGTTTTATTTTAGTTCTGGATCTGTGATTCAAGAGAAAACAGTCAGATTCTACCAACTGACTTTTTTTCATACTCTATTCTTCGACCCCGTAAGTGTTGCCCAAAATGCCACAATCTGGGAGCCTTGCTCCAGTTTTCCAGCAAGTAACCTAACATTGAAGAGTTTTCTCAAAAACTGGGGAAATGGTTATTGACTTCTTTTCTACAGGAGTACTTTAATTATGTACAACTTGCTCCCAATTAAGTCTGGGGAAAAAAAATTATAATATATAGAGGAGTGTCAGAAGAGGAAGGGATGTAATGCAAGAGGCAGGCAGAGGGGCAAGAGAATGAGAATCTATGTTATAGAAAATAAATATACATACAAGTTAAATGAGGTGTAATGTAACAAATGGAGGAAGTTTAACAGGCTATTTTCAAATTGTTTCTGTTTGGTAGTATAACTGATATATTTGTAACCATCTTTCAATAAATCTCAACACAATGATCCAGAATGTGACTGAAAATCTGAGGCAAGTAGATAGTTTGCTTTTAAAAGCCTGGTTTTTACAGATACCCAAAAATAGATGGCTGGATTAAGAAGATGTGGTATTATTTACATGTTGCGGAGTTATTACTTGACAAGCAAAAAGGATAAATGCACACCCTTTGCAGCAACATGGATGGAGCTGGAAGGGGTTATGCTCAATGAAATAAGCCAGAAAGAAAAAGAAAAAGAATCAGGGGGAAAAAATAACTACAAAAAGTAAAAATCAAAATTATCAGGCAACTATAGACCAGAGACATTCTGTAGGGAAGGAGGAAGAAGTATCAACATAGGACTGGGCACAAGGAACTATGTTGATGGTGCACGGAATTTCACATTAAATCATACCTTGTGCAAAAATGAAGGATGATATAATGAATATATATATATATATAAAAGAAAGCCTGGTTTTGAAATACTTGTTTCCCCTAAGGAAATTTTTTTTTTAAAGATTTATTTATTTATTTGTACAGAACTGGGGTACAGGCCAGAGATGCGGAGGGTGAGAGAATTCACCAGAGACAGAGCGGGGAGCAGAACAGGCAGATCGACAAAGTACACTGCTGAGGGGAGCAGCGGGCGGGTTAGGAGAGGTCTGCCATGCCATGTGGTCGCCTCCGGGGCAGGCGGGAATCGAACTCATGAGGAAGTGGCTTTAGATTCTCAGTGCTGTGCTTTAACCCGCTGCGCCACCAGGGAGGGCCCTCCCCTAAGGAAATTTTTAACGAATGATTTGATAAGCAAGATAGAATCCTCTTCCTTTCTTTCTAAATAAAAAAAAAAAAAAGCATCTTTCTTACCTTCAACGCGTGATTCCAAGTACTTATCCAACTCTGAATCTTTTCTCACTGCTTCTTCTGAGACCTTGGGGGCATTTGAAAAGCAAACTAGTACAATACTCATGTTATCTCGACTTCCCTGTATATTAAAGAAATAAAAAGAAAAATTAAATTCCTATAGTTTACCAACACTATATTTACTTTGTAACAAAGTTAATTACATTAAGCAATTATAGTTTATTTAATTATTCAGAAAGCAGACATTCATTTTCACTCCAAGGAACTATCTGAAACAATCTCTAGGGGTGGGCAAATCTGAAATTATTTTTAGACTTTTGCGTCCATATACCTATTCTTACCACCATTCTAAAGCTTGAGGAATGAAGAGATCTTCACATGTATTAAATATTCTAAACTGTTTCCCACTCAAGAGCACATATTCTCAGGGAGTTAAATTAAAAAATGTATCCTCCCAAACAAATTTGCAATTCTTTCCCCAGCTAATTTACCTGGGTTAGAGCTATGCTACTAAAACTACTAAATTTCAAATCACTGAGAATCACAGATTCAGCAGAATATCCAAGTCACTAAATTTAACAAAAATAACAGTAAAATAATAAATTTTTCTAAGAACAACAAAACATTAACATTATTAACACTGTAATCAAATGGAGTAACTTTTGAAGAAAAGACATCAAATTGTTACACAGAATCACACAGTGTCTAAGTCTGTAGTAAGCAGCTAATTTTACTGCAGTCTTTTTAATCACACCCTTAAAGACAGATGATCTTTATTTAAAAAGAACACAGAATTTATGCTACTCTGTTACTGTGAGATTATGAGCAATAAATTAAAATCACTCATTACTCTTCCTAAAGGTGTATATTTTACTAATCTCTTTCCTCTTCTGTTCACCTCTCTAAAAATCTAAGTCATGAGAGGGAGTAGACTGTCTAGATTTGATAGTGGAGAACGCCAACCGAGGTGACAAGTCATACCACTTCTAGTTTTCTCTTACTGGGGCAGAATCTATGCAGACAATGTGTAGTTAATATTTGTCACTATTTCAGAACACAAGTAACACAGAGCCGAAAAAACAGGCAGGCCTTGAACTTCTGCCCCCGCCTTTTAAAATACAATATGGCAGAGCTAGAATGCAGGGGCAGTCCAGCCATAAGACGGTTTCCTCAAAATAGTAACTCTTCACAGACTCTCATGCTTCAAAAGAAAGCATAAAACTATAACCAGATTCTCAATATTTGGGAAAAAATTCGGGATTTTCAAATTGGCCCAAATAACGACTGCACACACACACACAGTTCCAAAAACGGGGAAAAAATCCACAAAACAAGATCAACATTTTCCACTTTCTTATACTATAAATATTTAAGAAACAAACATTACTTTGAATACTAATTTTTTAAAGTAATTTCATGAATAAACAGAACCTCTTACATTTTTAAAAGTCCTGTTTCTTCTTTTCATTTCTATTTTGGTAACTATTTCTAATCTATATATAAAATTTTAATTAGATTTTTGTAAGTCAGAAGACATATCGTAATAGTTCAAAAATAACTTAATTATCAAAGATACTTAAAGGAAATAATTTATATTTCTATCTCAGCATGTTGAGATCGTGATACTTTTTTAAAACTAAAATATACTTTTCCATGAAAGTGACTTTCTTATAAAACAGAGTATGAATATTTTCAGGAATTTTTACACAGCAGTTACCCCTGTTTTCTTGAAGTAAATCATCCTTACATATAGAAATGATTAAAAAAAAAAAAAAGGTAAAACCCCAGTTTGGACAATTGAAACAATTAGCCAGATCCTTAACATTATTTCAATATCTTTTTAAATTTTGGTAACAGTAGAGCAGTAATACTATAAAGAAGTAATACATTACAGAAAAGTCAAAGTAACTAATACTTTTACCAAAGTAAGGGTATCTACATTTAAACTGAAAATAACTTTTATACTGTTAATTTTAAAACTAAACAACTAACTGAATGGTTACAAAGAATTGTCCCAACTCAGGTCTCAATACAGCCAATATAGGCTGTGCATTGAATCTCTATTAATTTAGATATAAACGAATGTCTGACAAATGTTATCAATATTCATCATTTAAAAAAATTTTGGTATTTATCATCATTATCTCATTTACATATAGTAGGAAAAAAAAAAGCTAACAGTCCAAATTTCCACTATCCATGTAGAGGTGAAATCCATTATTACTTCTTTACAATAGCATTCACCTCTACCACCATTAATTTATTACTTGAATCTATTATTTCCACCATACAAATTTACTCTTTTGTTTATAACTATCATTAACATAATGAAAACTTACTGAGTTCTGTAAACCAGTAATTTTCAGGAATCTGCCAAATGCTCTGCTCTGAACAACTCCAGGAGAGAAAAACTATCACCCATTTTAGAGATGAAGCTAAGGCTTTGTCCAAAACCTCAGTAAGTGGCATAGCACAACTTAAAACCCAACTATCTGGTTAGAAATTCTGTGTTTTAACATGGCAAACAACAGCCTTCAAACAGAGACTGAAAAAGTCCTAGGGAGCCAGAGTATTTTTACAGAAGCATTTTAAATGAGGGAGAAACACAGCAATATTTAGTACATGTAGACAACCTCAAACTACTACAAGCAGTTCATGGTTTCCACATTAGATAACAAAACATTCTTTTCAATGACACCCCATCTTTGCAAAGCTTGGGTTAAAAAAACAAGTGCCCATAAAAACCAACATTAATAGAGAAAATGAGGTGGCAGTGCCCAACACTTTCAAGTTTTAAGATTTTAAGATTTTGTAGTGTGTACAGTAGGAGCACACATCTCATGTGTGTAACTGTGTTTTTTGACAAAATGAAATAAAACAGTTCAATGTGTATGTATAACATGAGTATGGGTTATGACATGTACAGTAATTAAGTGTCGATCTAACTACTTAATATATCTTAATGTGGTTAAGTAGTATTGTGAAAAATTTACTTAAGACACTCAGACACCATGAACCAAGAAAGTCTGAGAATCTCTAACTTTTACTTTTTTTATATATTGTACTTTTACTATCGGTTATTCTCCATACCTCAAAATATGCAATGACACCCCACTCTGAACACTATGTTTACTTTTGCATTATTGTTAAGATTTTCTGAAAACTATGTAAAGTTCTCTAAGTTCAGAGGTAAATAATTACTTTGAAGAATACACAATTGTATCAATATTCTGGATTGACAGTATCTTTGGAAAGTAAGTCATTAACTTTCCTAAATTTTAAATATCCATCTCATGTTTTAAAAGATAAACAAGCTTCTGATAAGTGGTCTACAAACTGAACTTAGGGAAATCAAACAGTACAACTTTGCTTCAAATATCTTTGTTAAAATGTTTATTATTTTTAAAAAATGTGTTCCTGCACAGAACAACTACGGGGATGATGGGGGATAAGAGAACTCACCAAAGACCATAGGAAGCAAAACAGGTGGATATACTGAGTAAGAGCAGCAGCAGGCAAGACAGAAGAGATCTGCTGTGTCCTATGTGGTCAACTTCCTCACCAAGGGAACTCAGGTCGTAGTGGTGACAGCGCTGAGACTTAACCCCTATGCCACAGAAAGTCCCCTCCAATTTTTAAAATTATTCTTATAATAACTGATAAGACTAAAGTCTAGTATTTCTCTTGGGGGAGGTTTTTTCCATCAAATCCTCTGGGACACCTTGGTAACATACATACTAAACTTGTGTCATAACTTGGATGCAATTCCAGTCTCAAGTCTAGCTTCAACAGTTATCAAATACATGGCCACCACTATCTTAACATCAACGTTCATTTCCTTACTTGAAAATTGGAAGAAAGATTTTTCAGTTTGTTCATGTGAGGTTTCTGTGAGCATAAACTAAAATGAGTGTTATTTATAGTTATGAAAGGTTATGCAAATAAGCAGTCACATATTCCATGCAACTAGAAATTAGCTGTCAGTAAACACAATGAATGCTAGCAATGGCAATAAAAATGGGAAGGCTGCTCCCTCAGGGGATTCGAACTCATGCGGAAGTAGCTTAAGCTTCTTTGTGCTGTGTTTTAACCTGTTGTGCCACCAGGGAGGGCCCTAACCCTTTACTTTTATAGTACAAACAAGTAAAATGATAAAATTATGGAATTAGACACCTGAACGGAGAAAGCATACAAACATACACTGTACAAAAGTGAATGATGTAATAGATGTTCACACACACACACACACACACACACACATTATGGAGTTAGAAATGAAGATGTTTATCAAATTCCTAAGTAATATTTGGGGGTTCAAAAACTTTTAAGTCTATTATATTTCAAAAGTTATTAAGCTCCTCAAAACAGATTTCAATTTGAGTGTAGCTCCATTCGAAATAACTCCCACTACAACTGAGGAAATTATGTAATAACCCTTGTCCTGGTACTATTATTTATCATTTCTGAGAATTTATATTGCCTGGACCCTTTTAATACCATCATCAAGTACATGAACCACTAGGAAGTACATATATGCAATCAGAATCATTTAAAACCCACTGAGGAGGGTGGGGACAAAATTCCAGAAAACTAACTTCCTTTTAATGGAAGGGAGAATACTGTGAATCCACTATATAAATTTATTCTCTTTATTCCAATTACAGGCCTAGGAGATTTTTTTAAACGATTCCCTCAAAGTAAGATGTCATTAATTTGACAGAATGCTACACAACCACGAATAATGTCTTAAATCAGTAATTACAGATATGGTGATCTCTATATTATATTGCTTATTGCAAAGGCAGATTGTAGTGTAACAAAGATAACGATTTCATTTTTGTAAAAACACACACACTCATATGCAGGGAAAAAAAGATTAGAGATATACAACAATGAAAGTAGGTGACTTGGGTGGCAAAATTTTTAAGTGCTTATATATTCCATATTATCTGGACTCTTCCAGTAACAAACAGACTGTTTTCATAAGGGAAAAATGCTATTTTCATTTGCTAATCAAGCAAAAAACATGCTACAGGTCAGAATCACTTACTTAGAGCCCAAGGAAAACCACATTTTAAGAGTCACAATTAGATCATTGACAAGCATGAATACTTCTATGCTTGAGTTATGTAAAGAAGTAAAAAGCAGTATTTAAAAAAAAAGATCAAAAGAATTAGCAGTATCATCACTAAGCACCTTTCAGAAAAAAAAAATTTCCAACTAGAAACTCTAGTCCTTAAAATTTTCTTTTTGCAGCTGTCTCTTCCCATTCTATTAAAAAAAGCAAGGACTTCACCAAAACCTGGACATTCCCATGCATGCAAAGATCCTTTCTACGAAACTTTCTGGCTATGCCTGTTCCCCATAGCAAAACAGAATGGTTCTAATCTAGACAGAGTATGTCAGCCAAAATCTTTATTTCATACAACCAACGGTTAGTTTTGTCTTGATATCTTTTTCCCCGCAAAGATTTATTTATTTATGCATACAGAACTGGGGTACAGGCCAGAGATTCAGGGCCGATTAGAGGATTCATAAGATATAGAGTGGGAAGCAGATCAGGCGTATCAACTAAGTACACTGCTGAGGGGAGCAGTGGGCAAAACAGTGCTATGTCATGCGGCTCACCTTTCTGGGGATTGAGCTTGCACTACAGCTAGCTTGCAGTGCTGTGCCTACCCACTGCACCATCAAGGAGGGCCTGTCTTGGTATCTTTTTAATCATAGAATACTTGTATATTCCTAGCTCAAAATTTAACTGATTACTGAAACACCATAAAAAGATTTTAAAAAAGAAAAGAAAAACCCACTTGAAACCATGTTTAATAAGCCAGTAAAGACACCCAAGGAAATGGTGGCTTTTTTTCTCTGTCACTCTCCATTACTGTGGCGAATTAATAATATTCATAGAATATTACAGATCTAAATGAAACTTTAGTGTTCAACAGAACTCTTCAAAGGACACATTTTATATTAGCCTGTCGTGTTTAATCAAGGATGATAAAATATGAGTTCTATATGAAAAGAATTTTGATATCTTCTACAACAGTTACTGTTCATTATCATATATTACTTAGAGTTACATGTAAATTCCTTTTAAAGTTTATTGCTAGGAAAAGCTTCTTTTTATGAGACTGTAAGAACTATACAACGCATACTTAAATTTCTTCAATTTCTGTCTATGCCCAAAACTAAATTATAAAAATTCGGCATAGATTTCTCTTTTGTATATCTAATACTAAATTAAACTATATGCATATTTTATAAAATTATTTCAAAATAATACTTTTGCCAATATAGGAAATTTGAAACAAAATTCACAATTCTGTATTGATGCCTTTCCCGTAGCAACAACCTATATAAAGGCTCAACAGCACGTGAATCACAAGTTGATAAAGTAGACATATTTAGGTGAAATCATAACTCCCACTGCGGTAGAGCAGCTCCTGTCCATTCCATTTCTGAGGTTTGAAAAGTTACGCATGTATTCATCAATTTTCAAAGCCAGTTCTGATACCATTCTTGACATTTTCCACTGAAGGCTCAAGAGCAGATCCTGATTTTCCAGCTGCCCTCAGTGACAACAAATGCCTTAAAAATTATTAAACTTAAAATTATTAAGCTAGAAGGTTGAGGAAAATATGAATGGGGGTGAGGGAAATAAATCTCTTAAAATATCAATCCAAACATTAAAAACTTAATTTTACTTACCAATCTTTTCAAAATTAATAGGGTACTTTAATTATAACAAAAAGACTTACACATACCTTATGTAAACAAGTGTCCACTACCCAATTGCACACATTTTCCAGGTCATCAGATACCTCAAGCCTAGATTTAACAAATTCACAGAGCTCCTCATTACTCATAACATCCCAGATCCCATCACAAGCCAAGATGATAAATTCATCCTCTTCTGCTCTTAAAATTTCATAAACCTCAGGCTCTGGAGAAACAAGTTGTTCTGTTGGGCCCTTGCCATCAACACACTTGTAATCATAGTCCCCCAGAGCACGAGACACTGCTAATGACCCATTAACACGTTGTATCATTACGCTGCCTCCTGCATTTTGGATTCGCTCCTTTTCCCTTGGATTGCAAGGTTTGTGATCTTGGGTGGAAAAGCAGACTTGTCCATTCCTATACAGAACAGCACGTGAATCACCACAGTTGATAAAGTAGATATGTTTAGGTGAAATCATAACTCCCACTGCTGTTGAGCCGCTCCTGTCCATTCCATTTCTGAGGTCTGAAAAGTTACGCATGTATTCATCAATTTTCAAAAAGCCAGTTCTGATACCATTCTTGACATTTTCCACTGAAGGCTCAAGAGCAGATCCTGATTTTCCAGCTGCCCTAAAATCTTCATTGTTAGTGATGTGTTCTAATAAATGTGTTGAGCAGTAATTTGCTACACGGGATCCAGCATGCCCATCATAAACTGCAAAAAACGACCAGTCTTCCAAGCCTTGAGGAATACCTACAACAGCCGTGTGTGCATCTTCCATTTCCACTCTCCATCCCTGCATGCTGCTTAAGCCATAACGTAAACCATTCCCAGCACCATGAGCATTATGTTTCTCAGTTTTAGGTTTATCCAAAAATGCACCCATGTTTAGTAATGAATCTGCAAGAAAAAAAAAATGTAGGTATTAATGTTAAAATATGATAATTAATCCCCAATATTTCATCAATTTTCTGTTAATTTCTAGCTCAAGTGTATTTAGTATTATTCAAATTTACTAGAGTGAAAAAAAGAAAGAAAAAAAACTTCCTACAGTATTCTAAAACAATACTTTCTCAATCCTAGCATATAAGAATAAACAGATCAATTAAATTAGAATCTTTGGGGGTAGAATCCAGATTTTCTCAGTAATTTTTTAAAAAGCCTCTTTAGGGCCCTCCCTGGTGGCGCAGCTGGTTAAAGCACAGCACTAAGAAGTTAAAGCACAGCACTAAGAAGCTTAAGCCAATTCCGCATGAGTTCGATCCCGCCTGCCCCAGAGGAGATCCACATGGCCCGGCAGACCTCTCATGACCCACCCACTGCTCCCCTCAGCAGTGTACTTCATCGATCTCTCTGTTCTGTTCCCCACTCTGACCCTGGTGAATCCTCTCACCCTCCACATCTCTGGCCTATACCCCAGTTCTGAATGAATGAATAAATAAATCTTTAAAAAAAAAAAAAAAAAAGCCTTGGCCCTCCCTAGTGGCGCAGCGGTTTAAAGCACAGCACTGAGAAGCTAAAGCCACTTCCACATGAGTTCGATTTCAGCCTGCCCCAGAGGTGACCACATGGCGTGGCAGACCTCTCCTGACCTGCCCGCTGCTCCCCTCAGCAGTGTACTTCGTCGATTTGCCTGTTCTGCTCCCCACTCTGTCTCTGGTGAAGCCTCTCACCGCCCCTGAACCTCTGGCCTGTACCCCAGTTCTGTATGTATAAATAAATAAATCTTAAAAAAAAAAAAAAAAAGCCTCTTAGTGATTCATGCAGGAAGCTGAGAACCACTACTTTAGGAGAAAGGAAAACCAAGAAATAAAACCTATTAGATTCTCTTTCAATTTATAAGTTTAAGGCCCAATATATAAAACTGGACAATATTTAGAATGACACAGCATCAAAGTCAATAATATATATTTTAAAAGATTTATTTATTCATACAGAACTGGGGTACAGGCTAGAGGTGCAGGGGCGGTGAGAGGTTTCAGAGACAGAGTGGGGAGCAGAACAGGCCGACTGTCGAAGTACACTACTGAGAGGAGCAATGGATCAGGAGAGGTCTGCTGTGCCATGTGGGTCACCTCTGGGGCGGGGACTGAACTCATGCTGAAGTGACTTACAGCTTTTTAGTGCTGTGTTTTTAACCTGCTGTGCCACCAGAGAGGGCCCCAAACTCAATATATGAAGGTAGAAAGGTATGCTAATAAATTTTTTTTTAAAGATTTATTTATTTATTTATTTATTCATACAGAACTGGGGTACAGGCCAGAGATGCGGAGGGTGAGAGGATTCACCAGAAACAGAGTGGGGTGCAGAACAGGCAGATCAACGAAGTACACTGCTGAGGGGAGCAGCGGGCGGGTCAGGAGAGGTCTGCTACGCCATGTGGTCACCTCCAGGGCAGGCGGGAATCGAACTCATGCAGAAGCAGCTTTAGATTCTCAGTGCTGTTCTTTAACCCACTGCGCCACCAGGGAGGGCCGCTAATAAATTTTTAAAGGCTTCCAAAAGTAATCAGAAGTCATCGCCAAGACCTATGAAGATAGTCCCAAAATCCAATTAAAACATAAAATCTGTATTCCACAGATATTTGAGCTTATCAAGGTTTTTGAGCTTATCAAGGTTTATCCCATCTCAAACTGAAACTTTTACTTGGATTGACTGAAATCCTTTATTTGGATTCTGATAAAATGCAAGTATAACAAGAATAAAGAACATAATATTGTTGTGTTCCATGCTCCATGAGGTAGTCTTAGGGCAACTTTTACTGTATAATACAGTGTGTGTGTGTGTGTGTGTATGTATATACACACACACACACATATACACACACACACAGTATATATGTATATAAAAATAATAAAACTGTAAAGTACTATACCCTTCAGCTTTATGATAGAATAAAATTTCTCCATTTCAAAAGACTTGGATTAGAGTAATGATACTCCAAAGTGAACATGATAGTGCCCTGGTGTATGTCCTCTTTCCTACATACAGCCTTAACCCTACTATTCACTACCACTACACCAATCATTTGTGGAACTCTAGGAAGTTTTTCAGTGCATCAATTCATCCTCTTTCAAATGAGAACAGTCAACAATTGTACCTATATTGTTATTCACTACAATGAAGAATCAGATTCAGTATAGTGTTTAGAACAGTAATTGAAACAGAAAAAATGTTATAAAATGTTTGCTCAAATGCAGATGCCAAAGCCCCCATTCCCACAAGCAAATATTTTCTTTTTCAGTAGATCTTGGGCTGGGTGACTTAAAGAATCATATTTGAGAGACACTTGACTAAATCAACTGACTTTCACTTGGCCGTAGGTATCTTTGGAGGTATCTTTTTCAGCTATGACTGTTATCAAATTTGGTAATAAAATTAGATGCTCACCCAGTGAACCGTCCTATATAGATGGATATATTTTATTTATAATAGGATACATTTTATTTATAAATTCTATCAATTTATACTTCTAACTTTTTACAAGTCACACATGGAACTTGTACTAATAAATTACATATCCAGATTACAATTACATGTACAGATCCATGTTAAAGGGAATCCTGAAAGAATAAAATACATAAACATTACTTTTCACTCACTATAATATATTTTATATTGAGTATAATGTAATAAAATATGCCTGCTTAATACTATTTAGTACAATTTGAAAGCCTAGTTTTAAATACATTTTTTTTAAAAGATTTATTTGTACATACAGAACTGGGGTACAGGCCAGAGACTCAGGGGCAGTGAGAGACTTCACCAGAGACAGAGTGGGGAGCAGAACAGGCAGATCAACGAAGTACACTGCTGAGGGGAGCAGCGGGTGGGTCAGGAGAGGTCTGCCGCGCCATGTGGTCTCCTCCCGGGCAGGCGGGGATCGAACTCGTGTGGAAGTGGCTTTAGCTTCTCAGTGCAGTGCTTTAACCCGCTGCGCCACCAGGGAGGGCCTTAAATACATTTTTATTTAGATTCTTCTTTTTATGGCCATTTCACCTGAACAAGACAATTTATAAAACCACTTTCAATTCCATAAACTAATTATGAAAAAAATGTTCATTTCCGGCTCTCCTTGGTGGCACAGTGGGTTAGGAGGCAGCACTGCAAGCCAGCCACAACACTTCAGTGCGAGTTCAACCCCCTGCCCGGGAGGTGGGGCGGAGAGCAGGAATCCACATGGTTTAGCAGACCTCTCTTGACCCGCGCACTGCTCCCCTCAGCAGTATACTTCTCGTAGATCTGCCTGTTCTGCTCCCCACTCTGTCTCTGGTGAATCCTCTCACTACCCCTGCACCTCTTGTCTCTGACCCAGTTCTGCATGCATAAATAAACTTAAAAAAAAAAAAAGTTCATTTCCACCATCCTGGTGTTTCTGCAATTAAGGTGCTTCTTTTATAGTTTAATAACAATGTCCAAAACTTATAAAACCTTCTCATTCAGAAGATTTTTTAAAAGTTTAGAACTTTCTATTTCTACTTTTTTAAAATATAAGAACAAAGGAAAGAGGAAAGGACCCTAGGGAAGGATGGCAGCTGGTAGACCAGCTTGGAAAACTTCAGGAAACAAAGGAACACCTAAGGATGTGAAGCCAAACACTGAAGGCTGCACCAAGTACAGCTCTGCTGGCTTAGTGTGACTTAACTTTCATTTCTTCTCTAACAATCTCTTGCTTACTTGTCATTTCTTCTCTAGCAATCTCTTGCTTAAGAGCCAAAGTCCAGGGACTGTGAATCTGACTGAACTTAGGTTGCTAGCACACCTATAACTGAACTGTTCTAGGGACTGCATTCTTTATAAATTGCTTAAAAAAAAAAAAAAAAGGTCTCATTTAAAAATGGGATTGTTTCATAGTTTTTAGAACATTATAAAAATATACATGTAAATACCTTGCCAAAGAGTAATAATGAACACCCATGTACCCACCACAACATACAAGAAATAGACCATTATCAAGATCACTGAAGCCTATCTGCCCCTCTCCCACTCAAGAAAGCATAATCCTGAATAGTTAGTATTCCTTATAATAACCATACAAACGTGGTTGATTTTATATGCCTGACACTATACAGTATTTTTCCCCTGTAACATTGCAAGATTTGTCTGCACTGATGCAAAATGCTACAATGCATTCACTGTATCCCACTGTATTCTAGTACAAAATCCATTCCATTCTCAATAAATAACCTCTCATTTGTGAAAAAAAAAATTAATGTTTTAAATGTGTGTGTGCCTGTATGTTGGTATTAAACAATTCTGGGTCACATGTATGAGTTTTCCTCCCAAATCTCCCAAATCTCTAAAGTCTATTACCCACTATAAAAATTTGACAAACATAAATCTTCCTCCCCGCCCCCCACCCTGCAAACAAAAGTATAAAACAATTAAACAATCCCATTTATAAAACTCTTATTTCCCAAATGGTCTTTTGCTAACACTACAACAGGTCCTCAAATAACATCATTCATTCAACATCATTTCATCATAACAATGATAAGGAAAAGACCAATCTTAGCCACCAATGATGTTATTTGAGGGCATATGCTTTCCAATTACACATCATTTAGTTTAAACTGCAGTTTCCAAGAGTCTACTGGAGATATTCGGTGAGGACTTACTGTACTTCCTAGTTACCATGTTAAGTAGCATTTATCTTGAAGGGGAAGGAAGATTACGTGTGTGTTTTTATTTTATCCAAAAATATCTGCATACTGCTGAGAAACTGTTTCAAATTATTTTAAATTCCACTAACTCTTCAAAAGTAAAGAACTTCATTATAAGATAATCAGCTAATTTCTAAACTTTTATTTGCTTAAGTCACTACAAGTAAAATATACTTTCTCAGTCACTTTTCATCTCATTTATAAGCTCGGTAAATTACTCATTATATTTTAAAGATC